ATTTTAGAATGGAAGAGAAAGATTATAGACAAAACTAAAAAATGCAATTTGCTTCTTAAATCGAAAGGACGGGCAACGTCTTCTAAAATCAACAGCTCTATACTCAACAACCTACGCGTACTTACTTACTTACTTACTTTGATCTCGTACCTTACCACCTTACATACTATTGTATGTACACAGGTTGACTGGTAGGAGAAATATAAAAGTATAGAATAGCATATGTTGATTTAACTTCAAAAACGGAGGGTGTTCTATGTTCGGGTGTATGTATATTTGTTTTCTTTAATGTATGTTCATCGATTTCTCCGGACCGATTTTGAATACCTATTCTTTTTTTGTTCACAGTTGGTCTTATACAAATTTTATGGAAATCATTTCAACCATTACATATATTATGTTGTAATTGAGTTTTATTGAAATCGGTTGTACAAAATTTTTAATTGTCCAGTCCAGTAATAATATTAGTCCGTTAGAAGAAAGTGTTCGTATCACTAAAATTTTCGAGATACAAAGATTTGATTAGTAAAATTTCTATACGTGGTATAGCCATGCTGCAGCTATATTAGTACACAGTATAGATGTAGTACGAGTGGGTCAGCTCGACCGGGGAAGGACTACGCTCTCACAGAAATTTTAACGATAAACCGAATTATGTGGGTAAACTAGCTTTTCACCCACGATTTCGCCTGCTAAGTTAGCCGTAAAATATAATTTTAACTATTATCATTCTATTTATTTTTCAGTGACTCCGAGATAGACAAATAATTACTGGACAGTAATGTGCAAGGACGATGTACTCCAGTTGGCGAAGGAATCGAATCTGACAAAGAGAATCAAAAAGAATACAATAATTTTCACATATATTATATTAGTGAAAACTATAATTTAGAATGTACAGTAATTTATAAAATGTTACAATAATAATAATTCTCTAAATGTTATAACAAACATCTGCATATTCAATGACAGGCAAGACAAGTGCTTCTACAAGCATATTATGCTAGACTAAAACTATTATAAAATTAAAATAACTAAAACTAAACCTTAAAAATAAAATAAAATAACTAATTAAATAAGAGGCCTGGGCCTCTTGGCAGGGTGCCCATCACGCAGGCAGCATTCCCGCGTTGAACTGCGATTGCAATTCTTTGCGCGAGAAAGCCGCCGGCGCGAGGGTCGCCTGTTGCCTCCCTCAACCTTTTGCTGAGCTCCCTGTGGAGCTCCAGCGCACCTTTGCCCCAGGGACCTAGTGTCTCGACGCCGAAAGCAAAAAACTGATATTGGGCGCCGAGACAGCTGTATTTAGAGACCTTGAGGCTTTCCCGGGCGTCCGCCGCTGCCCCCGCACGTTTTGTAGTTGCTGGTAGATAGGACGCCGCCAGGGTGTCTGTACAGGTGGCGTCCCACACCAGCGCACGGCCCGACTTCCAGGGTATGAGCGACATTCCGTCAGGGCGCTTGCCATCGCTCCGCACAATCTGGGGCTCCAGAGCGGCGGGAACGTTGGCACTGACGAGCGCCCTTCTGAGAATGTCGTTGAGAGCAGCGTGGCGGGACAGGCGGCCGGCGCCCGAGGTGCAGGAGAGGCCATGGTGGCCGAGTCGGTCCACTGGAGCCCCACAAGAAACACAGTTGTGACCTGTGCAGATCCCAGCTTCCGGCCGGAGACCGACGGCTATGCGTAGAGTGTCCGGGTTGATAAAAGTCCCAGTGTTGGGCGAGGGATTTGCCTGGAGCCAGTAACCAGATTCTGGCTTGGACACAGCTAACAGCCTGGCCCGGTCCCTGCCAATTGAAGGCTCTATTAAGGTTTGTAAGGTGGCGACGGACGCTATTGTATCCCAGGCCCTTTGCTTATGTGGTTTGGATGGGAGATTTGGACTCGGTCCAGCTAGCCATGCATTCGTGGCCTCGTCCAAACATGCAATCTCGCAGTTAATGCCCGCTGGGGCTTTTAATATTCTACCTGCGAGATCTAGCGTGCTGTGGATTGAAGACAGGAATGCAGGCAAAGCCACACTTAAAATTTTGCGTGTTCCCAGGCCGCCGTTCCTTATAGGTAAAGCGGCTTGGGTCCAAGCCTGTTCGCTCAAGTGAATGTTCAGGATGTTTTCAATTTTGGATTTCATTAGAGTGTCAATAGGTGTGATCAAATGGGGGAATTTCCAAATGGGGCAACAGCGAAGCATGTAAGTGAATTTAGGGACGAACAGACAGAATTTTAAAATAAATAAAGCTGAGTGGCTACTAATTTTGAGAAGGCGGTCCGAATACTTGCTGAAGTTTGTTGTTGATTTATTTAAGAGAAGAGGAATGGCCTCCTCAAAGATGGGGGAGCCGAGGAGGTGCAGACTGTCCTTCGTTACTATTTTAATGTTAAGAGCAATGTTGTTAAAATTTTGAGCGATCTGGGAAGCGGTTAGTGGATTTACTTGGTCCGAAATATATAATTCAGATTTGTCATAATTTAATTCTAAACCAATGCGATTGAAATGCTGTTTAACATGCACCAAATCAGCTAGGACTGTCTGCGCGTCTCCGGCCAAGGTTCCATCGTCGAGGTACCAAATATTTAATTTTGAATTTAGGGAGTGGATTATCGGATTTATTGCCAAACTAAATATTGCTGGACCGAGGGGATCACCCTGCTGACAGCCTACGGCTGAAATAATCTCATTGGATTTATGAACTAGTTTTGAGGGGCAGTGGTAGCACTGGAGAAGGAAGTTATAAATTTCCGGGACATGTATTTTAATTTCTTTTAGCAGAGTGTCCCTATTGACCGAATTAAATGCGTTTTTTAAGTCTAATTTTAGAAGAACCTCGCATGAATCACTTTTAAGGAAGGTACGTACAGCGTGGACTGCTGCCTCGCAACCTCCACGCGTTCCAAATCCAACTTGTACTGGTTCAAAGAGGGTCTGTAATTTTGTTCTAGTGAGCCGGACGCAGATCTTGGCTGCTAAACGTCAGAATGTAGAACCTACTGCGATGGGGCGCACGCCACCATCCTAGTACAATAATAATAAGTCATGTAATATATATATATATATATATATATATATATATATATATATATATATCACCGTCTTCAACCGTCGAGCTAATTATTGAACCAGAGTTAGTCAAGATTAAGTCAGATAAGTTGTACGGGCGAAGAATTGTAAAAATAAATCATTTATTTGAATGTATCGCAAATAAAAAATAAATACGTATATCGATTGCAATTTCCTTAATTTAACATTTTGCAAAGAATCAAGATTAGGAAAAATAATCTAAAAGTTTGGGAGTGTGGAATGTTTATTGATTCCGAAGATTATTATTTAGGGACAACTCCCGATGGGCTTATTGGAGATGATTCTCTAAATGAAATCAAATGTCTTATTTCTGCTTCTAATATGCCACATTTGTAGGCCATAACTAAAAAAAAGATCAAATTTTGTTTGATACGGGAAGGACAAAAAGAAAAAAGAAACCATGATCACTATTATCAGGTCTAGGGATAATTACATATCACTGGTAGGCAATTTTGTGTTTTCGTAGTATGGACATAATTTTTTCATGTTTTCGTACTTAATTTAATAAACCATGTGGTTTGGCGTACGAAAAAAATAAGTACTATGACCACTTTTGGACAGCAAAAATGCAGCCAAGACTTTACTCATTTTATTTTTAATGTTTATTACCAGAAATGATTGACCCTCGAGTTCCTAGAAAAATGGCTGTTCGAGAAAAAGTGTAATAAAGTAATATGTAATAAACAATAATAATTTCTTCAAGTTGTTACTTTTTATTTATTTGCCTACTTACTTTATTGTAAACTCGAAATCTTTTTATTTTAATGTCCTTATTCAATAAAGACTAAATTAATTACTAAATAATCGATAAACACTGAATAATCACAGATATTAACTTTTTCGTGAGGGGTATTACATTTGTAGCTTATCGATATTATTTTCTCCTCCCTAGGCAATAATAATATCGATAAAAGCTTTAACATCACTACAATACGCCCCTGCCCCCGACCCATATCGTGCGATAGAGAGAGTTGCAAGTCTTGAAGGCAATTGCCAACATTTTCTTTTTGAAATATTGTTTCCGGCGATAACGTTTTTACCCCCTAAACCTTTAAAAAATAAGACAATTTTGATCTTATTAGATTCAGTACACTTTATGTCTGTACGTTTTACTTTTTTAAGTAATCAGTTTAGTTTAATTAAAAAAAAATAAAAACGCTCGCGGAAGTTTTTAAGTCAAAAGTATAGATATTTAGATGCTAATAACTTATATTCTATACAATATTTCTTTAAAATAAAAACGTACGAGCCTAATTTTTTGGGATATCTACAATATTTCCAAAAATTATTAAAATTGGACTACATTTACGGGGTGACAACGTTATCGCCTTTTGTATGAAAATTTACAGCTTCACAATCCTCTTAATTTTTTAATTTTTGTTAATCGACGGATTTAACTCGGCAGGGCAGTGTTCGGGAAATTATAACACATCTTCGCGTCAGGAATACCTTAAAACCTAAAAACGAGATTGTACAACCAGTTCGTGTTGCCAGTGATGATTTATGGATCTGAGACGTGGTCCTTCACTGCTTGCCGGATGAGGATGCTCAAGGTCGCTCAGTAAGCTATGGAGAGGGCTATTAGAAATTATTATATTAGAAATGAGGATATCCGCAGTATAACTAGAGTGACTGACAAAGCTCAACGGATTGGTAAGCTGAAGTGGCACCGGTTCAACCCGGTTGCGGTTGTTCAAGCCGGTTTCAACCGATGGCGAAAATGTTCTCGAGTGGCAGCTTCGTATCGGTAGGCGAAGTTGGGCATCCCCCCACTAGATGGAGAGACCACCTTGTAAGACATGCGTGAAAGGCTGTAATCATTATGATGATGATGAATTTACTGCTTGTTGACAATTTGGTCTGTGTGATTGTCTTAAATCTACTATTATTAACTACTTAACGGAAATTTTGGATGTTTACCGAAAAACTCCCAGCTTTTCAAATGCTTTTAAATAATGTGTTTTTTCTTCGGGATCGTTTATAAGAATAAAGCTTTCTTTAATTTCTTGCTGTAATAAATGATTATTGAATGAAATACATCTAAAATAAAAGTTTATATCGATTTAAGCATTTTAATACTTTACCGCTATTCTGTTTGTTTTCGCTTCAACTTTACCAATTAGAGGCTTTGCATCTTGAAAGTTAGTCGCTTGCTTGCAAATATCTGGATCTTGTAGGACCTACAAAATTCTTTAGAAAATGTAATCAAATCATGGAGGTCATTCGAAGAATATAAACAGCAGTGGCGACATGATTATTTTATACGTGGTAGAGCCATGCTGCAGCTATATTATGATTGTAGTACGAATGGGTCGGCTCGACCGGGAAAGGACTGGGGAGACCCTTTTTACTGGAAACAAGGCATTCCATCTTAGTCCTCACGGGTGACAACGCAAGTAATCGTAATCGAAGATAGATGTAGATGTCTATGGGTCACAGCAATCACTTACGATGAGGTGGACTGTGTGATCGGTTGTCACCCTTCTCCTATAAAAAAAAATGTATAAAGTGGAAGCGTGGACGGAGGAGAAGGAGTAGGTAAGTTAACAACGTTTACGTTCTAGTAGCAATTAGATGAGTAAAACCCTCCTTAGTGTCTTGTTGATATAAAAATAAATCAGGATAAACACTTTCAAAAATCGTACCGTCATAATCGTCTGGCTAATATCCGGAAATATACCCCAGCACTGAACTAACGTTTGATAGTCGAGATGTAATAAGATGCAGTTGGTCGACGTTATGATTGTATGTACCTAAAATCATTTTACTGATGTTAAACTAGCAATGAAATCATTATAAATTAAATTTACAGGCCATTTTTGCATAAAATATAAAATAAATACAAAATATAAGCGTAAAAATATAATGTGTGAACCAAAATGCTTCTGTATTTCACAACATAGTGAGGACGAGAACCGGAGATCCTTTTAACTTGTAACTTGTAACTTGTAACGGTTGTAAACCCTGCGCAATAGTACTACTGTAAGAACGTTGACAATACATCTTCATTGCTGTCTATGGACCGCACACACACTACCAGTTGGACTGTGAGCTCGATTTGTTTTCTTACTTTTATGAAAAAAAGAAAATAATAAATTATTTTATATTTTAATGTACTGGAATTAAAGTAATGCTAACACCCAGTTATAATATTTCAAAAACTAATTCTTGTGATTCATAGCAACATTGTTTAAATTATTTTAGAATGGGGTATTAATAATTTTGAATTCTTATTAAACTGTTATTTTATTGTATTACTGTATACACAATTAAACCAAATCATATACGAGATGTGAAATATACAGCTTGCATCAATGGTGCCAGTCTACGTCCAGCATCAGCCTTTTACAGGCTGATGAAGAATATACAACATGTAACAAAAACCCTGTGGTTCCCGTTAAGTACGTTATCAGGATCACTATTCAAACCTATAGAAATAACTTTTTTAAAACGACCTTATTTTTTTATTTTATTAATTTTATTTTTATTTTATGTGGCTTTATTACCTCTTACTGACACTATCCGATGTTAAAGCTAAGTAAAGCGGGGTCTTTGGTAATAAAACCACATACAATTTTTATACAATTATTTTTTTAAATAAAATAAAAAAATTGTTCGCGTTAAAAAAAGTTATTTCTATACGTTTGAAAAATGATCCTGATAACGTACTTAACGGGAACCACAGGGTTTTTGTTACATATTGTATAATAATAGATAAAATCTTTAATGTTTTATTTGATTAGATGTACAAAATTCATACCTTTGGTAATCCATACAACATCGCAAAAACGCCAATGCAACTACCTGGTCCTTCATTTTTGACTATTGTCCCTTTGTAATTAATGAAAGTACATTGACCCTAAAACCAGATAGTCGAATATGATTAAAGTATTCAAATATAACAAAATATGAATCCTTAAATTAGAGTATAATATATAACAATCTTTACTTCCTGGTGCAGTCATATTCTTCATTGGAGTACGCTATGAACAATCGCAATATTCGCTTATTCTTGATATGAATATTATTTATTAGATTTAGGAAAACGTGTGCAATAAGTTCGTCTACTGTCACTATTGGATGGCAAAATTCATGTGAAAACTGTTTTCCATCTACATAAATTTCCTGTTTACCCTCTCCGATTTTATACAGGTTATATGTTTAGAATTATAAGTCTATATAATTTTTAATAGGTTTGTCCTAGACTATTATAGGTGCCTTGTAGCCTATAGTGCGACTTTTCCTGATAATATGTCCATGTATTTATGCAACAGCTAGATAGGAACCATTACGGGGCGTAGTATTATTTTTTAGCATGTTTATTTTATTTTATACAATCGCTATACCAAATTGCACCACAACTCGATTAACCATTTTTGTGTGAAAAGGAAATTATGCAAAATGCTAATTACCTATTCCAAAGGAATTATGAATATTTCCAGGATAAAAAACATCGCGTGTTTCATTGCAAGAACATCACATTTTTGCATAAAAAGGTAATAATACAATTATGCTCCAGATCTATGCCACAGACATTGTGAGTTTATGGACATTAAAGCAGTGCTACCTAGAGTCGAAAACTCACATACCTACTATCTATATGATATCTATATAAAAATTATGTCGATTCGTTGCTCTGTTGCTGCTTGAAAGGAGGAAAATTTAACAAACACACTTTTTATTATTAGTACAGATAGTTGTCTCAGTTGGAGTGTTTTTTCTTATAAGATAAGGGGACAAGCGAGTGTTAGTTGTTAGTACAATGTTAAGTGTTTGCTATTGCCCATAGACATCTACATCTACCCTCGTTTGCGAATAAATTCAGATGCGTGTTCCAGCCATGAGGACCAAGATGAAATGCCTCTTTTTCAGTAAAAAGGGTCTCTGTTTCTCCATACTCACCATACGAAACACAGAAGCTTTAAGCTGCTATTTTACGCTCGTATTCTGTGAGAGCGTGGTCCTTCCCTGATCAAGCTGACCCATTCGCTACTAATATACAATTAATATAGCTGCAGCAGGGCTCCACCACGTTTAAATTATTTAGTTGGTTGAATTTAGTTAATTTTATAATTTTAAAATAGCTTGTATTAATTTACGTACTTTTTGCAGGATATACATATCTCTTCCAATATCACCGGCATGTTGTACAATCTCATTATCAGGCAAAACTAAAGTTTTAACTTTTGCTGCCACAGTTTGCAGAAAATCATGACTTGATTCCTAGAAAAAATTTCGTGATATAATTACTGCTTAAGTCACAGATATTTTAAAAGTTTAAATGTATGTTTGAAACTTAAGCCAAAAATTACTTTGAATATAGGGCAATATAGTAAAGTCTCAACCATTTCAATAGACAAAACTTCATGTTGTAGATTTGGAGACATATCTTGAAAAATTTCGTCTGCTGACACTGCATTGTTATAGTACCTGATTTATTTAAACAAAACTTTTAAATTACTATGAAGTTGTAAACTACAACTTAACATTATCTAATTTTTAATTATTAACAAGTTATAACGAGGAAGTGATACGGTGCATTTGTTATCTGTATTAGCTACAGCGTGAAATGATTGAATGAAATTTAATTCAATGACACATGTGTGTAACGATAAGATATAAACTTTCTATAAGTGTCCAAGCAATCATTATTCAAAAAATTACGTGTGGAGATGTTAGTTTACTTTTAGTGTTTTTAAGAGTGTTGGATATAAATTCGATGAAAAGTACCAAAAAATAAATGATAAAAGTTGACTGTAGGTTTATATGATATGAATATGCGGGAGTATAAGAATTATGCGCGATGGTTATATATGATCTCAACATCATAAACTGTGGATTACCTATGAAGTACTTTATGAAATAAAAGGATAGAGGACATGCAAATACTTACCTCGGTCTACAAATTTCTCGCTTTGACGTAGTTGTAAAGCGCTACGTCAAGACGAGTAATAAGCAAAGCAGCGTTAATAATGTTGTAAATAAGCGCTATTTCTAATATAAGATATGTAAAGATTGATAATTAGCGGTGCAATGCGAGAGGGGAGGGTCAACACATGACTAGCAACATACGACTGGACGTAATGTATCAGATAACTCCTTTATTTTGGCATGTCAATAGACTGAGGTCAAAGTCAACCCGGAAGCGAATGCAACCCCCTCTGCCATACGCCCCCAAAGTTATCCCACTGACAATACTATATTGTTAAATGTCATATATAATAGGCGCGAACAAGTGTTGTTCGAGGATGAACACGGTAAATTTACTACCGTTACCCTTAAGTACCACTACAAGTCTAACAAAAGTATACTGCTAAACATAGGCTTCCCTCATAAATTGTCTCATATTAATACCTCCCATATTTGCTATAGTTGCCATGCTTGGCAGGCGAGTTAGCAACCACGGTACTTTTTAGATATAAGAAAGATGACTGGCTATCTCATGGTTTGATTCTCTTTGTCGTCTCTTATGACACCGACGGGACGTAATGGGGTACTATGATATTCTTAAGGTAATACCGTGTAGTTGTTACATGGTAGCACTTACTTTTACCAGCCAGTAAATATGTCAGTCCGTTTTTATAACTTTCATAAGTTCTCTCAAAACTTTTATATAGTAGCACTCCCTTAATCTTTTACAATTATTAAAAATAATATTTTGATATAACTCATGCATATAGCGTATCTCACCATTGCACGCAGAAAAATTTCTTTACTCGAGCCTTAATTTTTCCACTGACATGATTAACTGACAAAAAATAAAACAGCTCTCTCATCGATTCCTGTGAAATGTAAAGGTAATGACATTTTACAGCTCTTGTCATATATTTTATAATAAAATAACTATTCTAATTAGCACATGTTCTTTAATTTTTTAAGTAAAAATTTTCATTTTGAAACGTGTCATTATAATAATATTATTTTATACCCTCATACAGGCATAATTGATAGAATTCACTCAAAAATTCCTATCTTACAAGCCAAGTACGATAAGATTCCTAAACAATTTGTATTCAATAAGAAGTACAAGATACAATTAAATGAAACCAGCCAGCCGGAAGGATTAAGCCCAAAAGAGCTTTTTTTCACCGATGGTTCTAAAACCTATGAAGGTGTAGGGCCTGGAATTTTCTCTGAAGACCTCAACATCCACATATGCACACCGCTGGGTACCTATAACACAGTCTTTCAGGTGAAATGTATGGGTATCATTCAAGCGGCCATAGCAATAGATGCTAGAAAGGTTAATGACTTCCCCATCAGAATACTGACCGACAGTAGGGCGGTATTACAGACTCTGAGTTGCAATGTGGTGAACTCGGGACTAATATATGAATGTCATCAACTATTAAATGTGATATGTAAAAGCAACAATGTGACTCAGCAATGGATAAAGGGACACAGTGGATCCAGAGGCAACGATGAAGCAGACGAACTGGCCAGAAGAGGGTCGGCTCTGGCCACTATAGGGCCGGAACCAATCATAATGTTACGGCCTACAGCTGCCCCTGCAAAGTTCGTCTTGGCTGGGGCCCATAGCAGCTTCGTCGACGGGCAGACGCAGGTCCTTTGGTAACGTTCGTTTACTGGTACGTCGACACTTCACTAATCAATACGCTCAGCTTTGGAAAAATCTAGTAGACTGTAGACAAGCTAGGGAGTCCCTGCCTGAAATAAACGTCGTTTAGCCAAAGTTCTAATGAGACTGAACAAGCCGCAGTTCAGGATAGTAACATGTGCTATCACAGGACATGGCACCTTTAACAAACATTTATTTACTATAGGTGTTACAGATAGTCCCCTGTTCAGGGCATGTATGAGGGCGAAAAAAACGGCGGCCCACGTGCTAGTGAAATGTCCGGAGGTCACTACGTAGAGGGCTAAACATCTCGGCACGCCGGGATCACTCCCCGAAGTTGCATGCAACATCAAAGGACTGTTGAGCTTCTTCGGGGAGATCTCATGGCTCGAATAATCACATTATTCCTGCCCACACGCAAAATACGCGCATAGACGTGGAGTTGCAGAAAACAGCCCATCGTAAACTAACTTATTTTATTATATATATATATATATATATATATATATATATATTTTGTCTTGTCTCGATGGAGCCCTAGCTTTTGAATTAGATACGATATACAAGTGGTAGTGTTAGTGACATTTTATCTGAAGAATAAACCAAAACAGAACCAAGACCCGAGACATTAGACTGATAATACAAGTATGCCAACTTCAGGTCTCAGGGCAACCTCAGGGCTCTGTTTTGCGACCTATCTTATTTCATTTTAAATGATTTGCATCAGTTTGTCAGGAAATCAATAAAGATAACTAAATTAGCCCTGTTTGCAGATGACACTAATACAGTTGTTTCGGCTAATGAAACTGATAGTCTAGAAACAAATATAAACTTGGTTCTAGAAATTACGAGAAATTGATTTGTTGCTAATATCAACACTGGTTTAACAAACATCATGATATTTAGAAACAATGTAAGGCTATTCGACTTTGCTTGAACACGTTACTAGATGGTAAAAGGGTTCAACAAGTAGAAGTTGCTAAATTTTTGAGAGTTAAAACTGACAGTCATTTGAATTGGAAGCATGAACTAGAAGACAATGAAAGCATTACTATCTCAGTTTGCTATATGCTGAGAATCTTATGAGATAAAGTAGATATAATTCATCTAAAGCTAGTTTACTATCCGTTAATTGAATCTAGGCTTTGCTATAGCATATTATTCTGAAGAATGAGTTATAAATATAATGTTCAAAAAGCCTTTATTCACCAAAAACAAGCCGTTAGAACAATAGTTCGTATACGTCGTATCTTATACGACAACAGGAATCCTGTCGTGAGTACTTTAAAAAACTTGGCATTGTGACTGTACCATGTTTGTATATACACGTCTTACTAATTTTTCAAAGTGTATAAGGGATTACGAGACTACGGACAAAATAAATATTAGGGAAATACAACAAGACAAGATTTTAAGAATAAAATATTCCTCATCTAGTTATATCCAAGCACTGCTTACAATATCAGTCGGTTCATTTATTTAAGTCGGCCTAAAAAGTTACAAAAATCTAAAAAGTAAAAGAGTGGTTTGAAAACTAAGTAGCAATTTTTTTCTGTTGGAAAAATATTTTTATACTGTTGATGACTTTGTTAATGATAGTATTCGATTATCTTAATATTCATCATCATCATCATCATTACAGCCCTTCACAAGTCCACTGCTGAACATAGGCCTCCCCCAAAGAATGTCACAAAGCACGGTCCTGAGCCACCTGCATCCATCGACTTCCTGCATATCTTACCAGGTCGTCACTCCATCTAGTGGGGGGACGCCCAACACTTCGCCTGCCGGTACGAGGCTGCCACTCGAGAACCTTTCTTCCCCATCGGTTCTTCGAGCTATATGGCCGGCCCATTGCCACTTCAGCTTACTAATCCGTTGGGCTATGTCGGTCACTCTAGTTCTACTGCAGATATCCTCATTTCTGAGTTTATCACGCAGAGAAACTTTGAGATAACCTTCTCTATAGCTCGCTGAGCGACCTTGAGCTTCCTCATCCGGCCAGCAGTGAAGGACCACGTCTCAGTTCCGTATGTCATCACTGGCAACACGCACTGGTTGTACAGTCTCGTTTTCAAGTTTTGAGGTATACCTGACGAGAAGATGTGCCGTAATTTCCCGAACGCTGCCCAACCGAGTTGAATCCGTCGATTGACCTCTCGGTCGAAGTTGGACTTACCTAGTCGGACTATTTACCCCAGGTAAACATACTCGTCAACAACTTCGAGCTTAGTGCTCCCAACAACTACCGGCATAGGTGTGACATGGACATTATATAATGATAATGATCTTTGTTTTGTCCATGTTCACATCTTAATATTATAGTAACATAATCTCTAATCTATTATGACGATTTTAACGTTAATAATTTCATTACTTGACATTGTTTGATTTGTATTGTATGACATTACTATTCTTAAACATGTACTATTTTGTTTTGAACATGTATTAATTAATTATATTTCTTCTACACAAGGTATATTGTTCTCATTAAATTGAAGTAAATTGAATCAAATTTATTAAAATTACATTCTACAATATTTTATTCAATTAACTTTGAATAGGCATAAATATTTCAAATATGATAAAACTATATGTAATAATGACTAAATAATTTTAAACATATTATGAGGATGATGTACGTGTTTTATATCTTTATATATGAAGTAGATTAGTAAGGAAGTGAAAGTTATTCTGAGAGTTAAAAGATGCTAATACTCGTACGTTCAATAGATTTTTGAAGCTTACATAATCGTATTCATGCAGCCACGAGAACAGAAAATATTTTGTTTCTTTGTTGTAACTTTTTTTACTTATTATAAGCCAGTACTTGACCACAATCTCACCTGGTGGTAAGTGGTGATGTAGCCCTAGATGGAAAACCGCACTATCTTAGCATAATAAAAGTATATTTATGGCCTTGAAGACGCCTAGATTGTACGGAATTGATCGACCGGAAAGACAGACGCCGGTATATTATTCTACTCCTTTGCTGTACGCATTACAAAAGACGAAGGAAAACGTTTTTTTTTTCTAATGCGTGGAATACCGACAGTCTGGCTATTTTGCACCTTGCTCGAGGCTGACAAGATTGGTTTCAAACAAATCAAGGTTACCAATGAGCCTATTAGCACGTCTCTCCACTGAATCCAACGCTGCTAGGTGGCATTTTGCAGCCCATATACGACAGCAATACTCCATGTGCGACCAGACTTGCACTTTAAAAAAGGTATTAGGACACCTAGTTTTCTTGCGGCTGCTTTGTCCCTGGATCAATGAACCGCCCATGTTGAGGTTTTTAGACAATTCAACCCCTAACAACTAAAAGAGGTCAGTGTATTCCAAAAATAATTTCCGGAAAGTAGGAGCCAGGGTGAGCGGTGAAAAGACAAGTTTGTGTTTTTGCAGGCGTTGAATCTCACGAGATTGGCATCCCCCTAATGGGAAACTGTCTGCACTGAGAGATTCTCACGCTCAACTATGGCTTCTATTTCGGACTGGCTTTGATCCGGCTGGCCCGAACATTCGCCAGGTACCTCTCCACAACTGTGCTGGCGTCTGCATTCCTGGAATATCGGGAATAGTCAGATCATTAATATGCAACAGGAAGAGAGTTGCGGAGAGAACGGATCCCTGAAGAACTCTAGTGTTTGTTGCGATAGGACTGAACGATCAGCCATCGATGAAGAGTCGGCGAGATCGATCACTTATAAAGTCCTTCACCCAGTCAATCAGCCCAAGGGGGATAAGCTGTACGCTGGAAGCTTGCCCAAAATGTAAGCATGCTAAACAGTTTCAAAGACCTTCGAGACATCAAGGGGAATAGCAAGTGCTTTCATCCTGTTATCGAGGGCTTTACCCTATATGTTAACAGCTTACGCTAGAAGGTCTCTAGTTGATCGATTTTGGCGTACCTGTACTGGCGATCACTGAGATCACTCTGCTCTAGGTATGCCATGAGGTAGGCGTTCAATATAAGCTCCATAATCTTACAAAGTATGGAGGTAATTGATATTAGCCGATAGTTGGATAGTTGGTTGGTCGATGGCATCGATCAATGGTGAATTAGTCGATGTCGGTCGATAGTTTCTACCACACCGAGCTGCTTCATTATTCAAAAAACTGCCACGCTCCTCTGACCGCTATTTAAAATGTCGTCTAAATTAGGTAAGCGATATCTGGGCTTACAAAACGGTCGCATCT